CCAGACAAGTACCTCAGATAAACAATGGGTCTCATCCAAGCAGTCCCTGGATCTCTCTCATACATATGTATGTAAACACCTTCAGAAGAAGCCAAGAGAGACACAGAACCTGATGCCTCAATGGCACAGAAATTGCAAGGGGTGCCCTAACTGTGGGGGTTGATCATTTTGTTCCCTTCAGAAGGGGCCTGAAAGTTCTAGGACCCAGTGCAGGGAATGGGGATCTAGCACGGCGGATGGGAAGTCAACCCAGCTGGGCTGATTCCCTGTTCCCTGCTGGATCTTGCGCTGGGGATGGAAAGTCAGCCCAGCTGGACTGACTTTCCATCCCCAGCCTATGGTCGAAACATTTCGACTTCTGAAACGTTTCAACTAGCCTCAGTTTTTTCAAGGCTATTTCAATGGCCTTTGTTTCGTTCCGATTTTGCTGTTTCAACCTCAAAATTGCGTGAAACACGGTTAAAATGAAAAGGCCGGTGAAATTTTGCACAGCCCTACTTACTACAGACTTATGCTGGCAGGTTCCTTGGATTTTTGCAGAGGGCTGGGACTGCACTGAGACATTCTTCTTTGCCTCTGCCTAGCCAAGGAATTACCAAAACGAATGTAACTAGAGCCCAAGAATTCAAGGAAAGAAAAAATGTTACACTGGGGGAACTTCCAAGTTTCTCTTGACAGTAGCTGTAGAAGCAAGGCCTGCTTTTTAATGCCCTGACCTCAGGCTGTGACAGTAGTGGAACGTGATCCATGCGGATGGCAGAACTGAAATAATCAATCATGTGGTCTTTTGAGGGTCTGAAAAGCAACTCTGCCCACTGGATGTAATCCAGGCTGGGGTTGAAGATCCGGAAGTTTTCAGTGTTCACACCGGACACAAGATATCTCTCCAGATCCTGGAGGGGGAAAGTCAGTTTAGTGAGTGTTTTATGATCCATCCGCAGTATGTTCGCAAACGAAGCTTTTTCTGGCAAGCTCTTCCAGGTTGCAGCATATCTCCGTAGCAGCCAGTTTGCCTCAAAAAGTTTCCTTGTCTTCTGCAGGTAGAACATCTCTGCGTGCTCTGCTTTGACTCCCACAAGCTCATCAGCCTACAAGTAGCAGAAAAATTATTAATGAGCACAATGAGGTAATTAGCCATGTTAGTTTGAACTCAGGCAGAAGGCAGGGTACAGATACACCTTATAGACTAACTAAATCAACCTCTAAATCTCTGATACAGTTAGTGTATAATGTGTATCCCTACCCTGCCTTCTGCCAATCTTTACCAAGTTAGCCCACTATCTTAACCAAAGACAGATTCTTAAAGACTTGTCTGCACATAAAGTTATTTTTGAATAGCTGCCCATGTGGCCACTCGTACTGAAATAATGGCATGTCCACCTGGTTCTGCAGAAGCAGCTGCCGTACTTTTAAATTCTCACCCTACATTAATTCAAATGCAGGATTAATCCTAAAACCCTTCCAGTGTAGACAAGCCCTTGCTCAAGACTGGTGTCTCATGTTCAGAGCTCTAATCAGTGGAAAGCTTCAAAAAAAGAAAAACAAAAGATCTGCCTGAAGGAAATGACCTATCAACATCACATGATCAGGGCAGCCTAGTGACTATAGCCAGCAGCCCATGACATGATGCTGCTAGCAGGCCATCCACCTATCGTGGACTCCTCAGCCTCCTTTACAGGTGGGTCATGCCACAGGAAGCCACTTTAACTGCTCTGCCATCACCACCCTGAAGGGGTCTGCAATGAGGGGTATAGTTGGGGAGAAGTAGGGCTAGAAGGGATCTCCAAACCGCCTCATCTAGTCCAACCCTTTGCCTGAGGCAAGATCATCCCTATCCAAGCCTTCCCATGCAACCCTAATCCATGCTCTACATAAGACTACTGTCAGCCCTGACACAACATAGACCTAACACCCCAACCTGCCACAGGTAAAGTAGAGGAACTGTGACAACCTGCTTCTATGAAATGCAGTCAGTATATGCTCAACAGGTCATGGGTAGATGGCCATGTACCCTAAGCTACAGAGAAAGGCAAACCCCTACCCCCACCATCTGTATCAGTTTGACCATGGGGTAAAATTCCTTCCTGACCCCAAATACAGAGATTGGTCAGACCCTGAGTGAAGGGGCAAGACCCTCTAGCCAGAATCCTCCAACTTCGCTCTTAATAGAATCGGCACACCCCAGCTGAAGCTTTAAAACACCCACCAAACACATACAACAGAAAATACTTGCCTAATAATAAAGGGGAAGCCTACTGTCATGCCAGGCACTGTGCAGCAAGAGAAAGAAAAACCCTGAGTCTGGGGCAGACTAGGCCAGGGGCTCTCATCCTTGTTAGACTTCAGCCTCCCCACTTGGAAAGTGCCAGCTCTTGGCTTCCACTTGTTTTCTTCTCCTTGACCAGGGAAAAACAGGGGAGCTGCTCCTCTGGGGCACAGAGCCCACAGCGGGTCAGAACGCTGTTGACACTGGGGGTTATTTGGAACCTTTGGGTTTACATGGCCGATCATGGGGCAACACTGTATGGGCGCTGCCGCGCCTGGGAGAGGATCTCGGGAAACCCGGTTGTTTACAGCAACCTTCAGCTCCCTGACGAGGGTCCAAAGAGGATGGAGCTGGACTGTTCTCAGTGGTGAGAAATCACGGAAGAAGGAGCAATGGGCTCAAGTTGCAGCAAGGGGGGGTTGGGGTGGATATTAGAAAGAACGTTCTCACTGGAAGAGGCTACCCAGAGAGGTGGTGGGATCTCCTCCCTTGGAGGTTCGTAAGACAAGGGAAAACAAAGCCCTGTTAGGGTTGATATAGCTGGCGCAGGGCCTGCATGAGACACCCGCTGACGGCCCTCCCAACCCTCCTTTGCTACGATGCGCTCCCTATGCCGCTCCGAGCATCGGGAGCGCACAGCCAGGGACGCGCGAGCAGGGGGCTAAGCTGGGCCTCCACGCGTGCCCGGCAGCGCGACCTCCCACCTAACACTCACCTCCGCCCGCGGCCTCAGCTCCGCCCTCCACCGCTTCGCGTGCCGGGGGGGGCGGTGCCCGTAGGCGGGGGTGGGCTCGGGCCTCGGCCCGCTCCGGAACTGGCGGAGGCTGGGCTCCTCCGCGCGCCGGACAGCGGAGGTATTTGCCGCTCGGACGGTCTTGTGCTTCTCTCCCTCCCCTCGTAAGCTGGCCCCAGCGGGGCGCCGGCTCTCCGAGTCTCCTCGATGCCGGCGCCTTCCTCCTCAGCGCGGCCCTGGGTTCCCTCCGCTTTCCCTCTGGAGGGGGCAAAGCTGCGCCAGGCCTCGCTTCGCCTCTCCTCTCCTCTCCTCTCCTCTTTTCTTTGGGAGGGAAAAAAAACCCCTTTAAAAGGGTTTGTAGCTTCTGGGAACATTGGTGTGGGCCTGGGGAGGCGCGGGGCTGCCTCCTATCTTGATGTTTGCACCAGCTTCTGCCTGCCCGTGTTTTCCTAGCCCTTATCCAGTCACATCTCTGAGCAGAGTTTTGCTGGGTGGTGTCCACTGGCTCCTCCGACTCGTTTGAGGGCCAGTGTGCCCTACTCCTTGTTTCCCACCCCCCAAGCACTTGTTATCAACCTCTGACCCAAGCTGCCTTCCCTGTTATTGTTTCAAGTTGTCCCAAGAGCTCAGTTGATGCACACCTGATAGTCCCATTCCCCCATCCCGTGGTTAGAGGAGGTTACGGTTCTGTGGGCTATGCCCAGGATCTTCCCATGTATCGTACCAGCCTGCCTCCCTGTGCACCCAGCCTGGACAGTACACAGGGAAGGAGGAGCTTGTTCCCTCTGCTTTCCTCCTTGTTCAGGGTGTTAGCCCCCCACATCACTTGCTACAGGCCACGTATACCCCACTCCAGCGACAGAAGTTTTAGTTTCCTACTGAGCTTTTCCTTGGTGCTGGTCACTGGAGAATCCACGTGTTTCACAAGCATGAATGAACGTGTCCTTACCGCATCTTTCTGAGTCAGTGGGGGTATGAGCTCCATGGTGCAGATGGTGGGGCCTGAGGACCAAGCTGAAAACGTGAGAGAGGGTCTTCAGAAACAAAGGCACGGGAGAAGAACCTGGGTGTATTTGTCAAGTATGAATGCACAGGATGACTAGACAAGATGACTCTGAGTCCACAGTGGAATGTGGCTATGATCCTAGGATGCAGCAGAGGTATCTTTGGTAGCGATCGAGAACATCACTACGCTCGTGCCAGATATTTGTACGAATTTTGTGATCCTAGGGTGTCACAGAGCTGTTTTCCATAGTGAGTTAGGAATTTTGACAGCAGCGCAAAGGCTTTCAGATAGGTGGTTTTTAAGACACTTGCAGAAATAAGTACAGGGCTGTCAATCACAGTGGTAATTTCTCCAGCTCCTACTTTGCCCAGCCCTCCAGGGAGGCACGTGACTGGAGCCTCACAAACAGAACACACAACCAGGCATGCTTCTAGGTCTAGCACGCAAGTTAGCGCAGGAGTTTGCACAGGAGGGCAGGCAGGAGGGGCATGAGGCTCCAGGCAGGGAGCCTGAAGGGAATGGTCTGCACAGTAGTAGCCCAGACCACATGGTGTTTCGGGATGCATTGCATCCCGAAGCTCCACCCTGCACCTGGACCCCCCTGCTCTGGTACTACCGGGGTCTCCACCCAAACAAAGCCCATGTTTCCAGCCTCTACCTAAATGGAGCCTGCAGTCCCTGCCCTGACCTGGGCAGGACCTCTGACCCCAGGCTTCACTCAGATGGAGCCCTTGGCTTCCTGTGGAGGCTGCCTGGCACAGATGCAGGCAGCTGGGTCTGGGAGCACTGACACCTCCCCTTGTGGGATGTGCTCAGCAATAGAGGCCCTGGAGTACCAGATAAGGGAACTCCAGGCAATGGTGCAATGGCTGCGAGCCACTAGAGATGCAGAACAGTAACTGGACACCCACTTCCAGGTACTCCACTCAACAACTGACAATGCCTTGACAGAAATAGAGAGCTACCGTGAGGTCCAATCAGGGGTTGCCTGGACGGAGGTAGTCTCTGGCTGTAGGAGGCACTGCACCAGGGAGACCATTCCCCTGGAGCTCCACAACTGTTTTGAACCCCTCACACTAGTTGAACCAGCCAAACTTCCAGCCCCAGCATATGAGGAAGGAGGGCCATGAGCAACTGCGCCCAGAACAAGATGCAGAGTAGTTGTGGTGGGCAATTCGCTCCTGAGGGGGACAGAGGGTGTGATCTGTCCCCTCGACCCTGTAGCCCGTGAGGTTTGCTACCTCCCTGTGACTTGTTTCCATGATGTGACTGAGAGGATCCCCAAATTCTTCCAGCCCTCAGACCACAATCTCATGCTACTCGTTCACATGGGCACAAATGACATGGCGTGGAGCAATCCTGGCTAGGTCATGCATGATGACTACAGGGCTCTCGGGGCTGGGCTCAATGGTCTAGGGGCTCAGGTACTTTTTTCCTCGATCCTCACAATCACGGGTCATGGGCCCTGGAGGGATAGGTGCATTAGTGAGGTGAACAGAAAACTTCAGCAATGGTGCCATTGTGAGGGGCTTGGCTAAGATTGCTTGGGGACGGGCAGTCAATCAACAGTTCTAGCCCAGGTCATGCCAATCACAATAGTAACAGTTTAGGTAGCCCAAGGGAACCCATTCTGAAGAGAGCCCAAGGAAAGGTCACATCCCTTCACATAAGAAAGCCTAGGGCTTCCCATGGCAGACTCAACTGCCTGTACATGAATGCCAGAAGCTTGGGTAACAAGCAAGAGGAGCTGGCCCTTCTCCTGACCAATAAATTTTATGACCTTGTAGGGACAACAGAGACCTGGTGGGATTCCTCCTATGACTGGTTGGTAGGTATAGAAGGCTATACCCTCTACAGGAGAGATTGTGTTGGGAAGAGGGGTGGGAGTGTAGCTCTCTATGTCAAGGAGCAGTACACTTCCCTTCAAACTAAGTTCACTAACTATGGAGGGTGCCTTGAGACTCTCTGGGTTAAAATACGGGGGAGAGTATGGGGAAGGGGATATACTTGTAGGAGTCTGTTACAGACCTCCTAACCAAGAAGATCTAGATCTCGAATTCAATAGGGAACTGGCCGAGGCTGCACGTTCCCGATGTATGATCATCATGGGAGACTTCAACCTCCCTGACATCTTGTGGGAAGAGCACATGGCCAGGTCTGACTGGTCATGAAACTTCCTCACCTGCACTGATGACCTGTATCTAATGCAAGAGGTCTACGGGCCAACTAGGGGAGAGGCACTGCTAGATTTGGTTCTGGCCAAAGGTGTTGATCTGGTGAGTGCCCTGAGGATTGAGGGCAAGCTTGGTGATAGCGACCATGATTTGATTACTTTCTCTGTCCAACACAGGGTGGGCAAATCCCTCAGTAAAACAGAAATCCTCAACTTTGGGAAGGTTGACTTCCACAACCAGGAGACTGGTCAGTCAGACACTAAGAAACCGTGGCCTTCTAGAAAGGGGAGTCCATGAGGAATGGTTGTTCCTAAAGAACTCAGTCCTCAAAGTGCGAGGGAAGTCCATCCCATCCTGCAAGAAATGCAGTCAGAGGGCAGGGAAGCCCCCTTGGCTCAACAGGGAATTTCTGGGTCTCCTGAAACAAAAAAGAGAAGTCTACACCAGATGGAAAACTGGAATCATCACCAAGGAGGACTATCTAGCACAAGCCCATACCTGTAGGGAATGGCCCAGAAAAGCCAAGGCAGCAACTGAACTCAGGCTAGCCATGGGAATCAAGGATAACAAAAAGTCTTTCTTCAGATATGTGGGAAGTTGGAGGAAGAACAAAAGCAACATTGGCCCCCTGTGAGATCAAATGGGGCAGCTGACATCTGACACCCAAGAAAAAGCTGATTTCCTAAACCAGGGATGGGCAAAATACAGCCCACAGGCCAGCTGTGGCCCACCAGGCCATTCTATCCTGCCCATGGGGACCCTTAAAAATGTAGAAAATTTATATTTATCTGCCCCTAGTTCTATCAAAGATGACAGGAGACAGGGGCAGTAGGACCCAGGGTAGGCCCCGGCAGGCTCCTGCAACAGCAGGCCCCCCTGCCCTTCCCCCGCCCCAGCAGGAGAACAAGCGGGTGCTCAGAGCAGGGGAAAAGCAGCCTCCCCCACCTTGTGGCCAGCGCTTCCTGCTGCATCCGCTCGCTGCCTGCGGGGGGGGTGTCCTGCCTCTCCGCTGCATCACCACTGCCCTGTGGGGCTGCGGTGGCAACGGAAAGCTGACACAGGTAGCCCTGCACAGCTCCAAGAGGCTTCAGCATGGGGCACTGGCTACGGGGAAGGGAAATGGTTGCTTTTCCCCCATGCTGAGCACCAGCTTGTTCCTCAGAAGTTGCTGCTCGGTGTGGAGGAAAGTGGACCCCTCACTCACCGCTGCCAGGCAGCATTTGCTGCGGCCACCCACCCAGAGCCCATGCCATGCTAGGCTGTGGTACAGCTGCTTCACCACCACCTGTGTGCTGCCCAGTGTGGCAACAGCGGAGCAGCCGCTGGGCAGCACAGAGGCAGCGGTGAAGCAGCCGCACCACAGCTTAGCAAGGCGTGGGCTCCGGCCAGGTGGCTGCAGCAAACACTGCCTGGTGGCAGTGAGTGGTGGGGCTGCTTTCTTTCATACTGAGCAGCAGCTTTTGCTGAGCTGCTGCTGCCACACTTAAGCCCCGATGGGCAAGCCCGGAGCTGGCATAGGGCCCAGGCTAGCAGCAGCAGCAGCAGCAGCAGGAAATGAGCTGGTGCATTGGTGTGGGGGGGAAAAATGGCCGCTCCTTTTCCATGTGGCCAGCACCCCATGCTGAAGCTGCTCAGAGGCCGCACAGGGCTGCCTGTGCCTGCTCTCCATTGCCACTGCCCCGCTGCCCCACAGGGTAGTGGTGATGTGGCGGAGAGGCAGGACAGCCCTCACCGGCTGTGAGCTGCTGCCAGCTCCCCCCTCTCCCTGCTGTTGCAGCCCAGCCTGGCTCCCCAGACTCCGGCCAGCCCATGACCCATGCGCCAACTGCCCAGCTCCTGCCCTAGGATGCTCTTGCTTGCTTCCTTTCCCCTCCAGCTGCTT